ATGTAAATTGCTGGTTTTTGAATTTTGACAATTTTAATGTATTTATTGTTTTATCTGTTTTATCGTTTACGCCGCCTTGAGCCAATTTGCCCCAGCTAGGTGGGATACAAATCTAAAGTAATAATAAATAATAATATAACATCTGCTTCTAAGCTAATTTACTTTATAATTGCCCCCAAGCATTAATTCAGAGCTTTGACAGTGTTCGTTGTGTTGGAAGACCAGGAGAGCGTGAGAGCTAGTGCTGGCTATCATTTCCGTGCTGATTGGTACCCGTCCTATATGCCTTGGTGGCTTCAGTCAACCATTTCATGCAAGTGACAAATCATGATGAAATCCTGTGGCATTTCAGAAAAGAAACATAGAGTGGAATAGCTATTCCCCAGTCATCTTCTGGAAGTTAACTGCCAGGTAGGAGGAGACCCACTTCATTTGGTGCCCCACAAAGGTGGTCATGAGCAATAATGTTTAAACTGCTGTTAAATTAAGAAAACTCCACAGGGTTGCACTGTCTGTGTCTTGCCTCTGGCTGTCAACCAAGTTGTCTGTACTGTCTGGCATAAGGTGACTTCTCATTTCAGTTGCTCTTCTGTGTGTGACTGATAGTCTGAAATTGTTGTCCTTCATAGGGGATGAGCAGCCTCCATGCTTTGTGTAGGGATACCAGTCTACCTTAACACATGTATCTAAGTGTCACATTTTTGCCGCACAGCACATTTGCAGTCATAGGAATCTGGCAAATAATTGATCAGACCCCCACTGGGTCTCCCAGGTCCTTGGTACTTTCCACTGTCACTTACGTTTTTATAGCCCAGGCGAGCCTGAGCTCATCAGGTCTCAGAAGCTGAGCAGGGTCAGCCCTGGCGAGTCCTTGGGTGGGAGACTGCCAGGGAGGCCCAGCGTTGCCGTGCAGAGGCAGGCCAGGGCAAACCACCTCTGGAGGTCTCTGGCCTTGGAAATTCCCGGAGGGGTCACCGTAAGCGGGCAGCAATTTGACAGCACTTTCCACCCTTGCCACCTCCCATATCCTGGTCTGACACTCTCCCCACTAGGCCATGATGCTGGTTCTTAGCTTCCCCTCCCTGAGAAGAGGGTTGCAGAAGTTGTGTGGTAGTAAGTTGCTCAGGTGAGTTTTCCGGTGGTTGCTGCAGATCCCAGCCAAGCTGTGCTAGTTGTGTGGAGGCTGCTGCTGAGCCCAGGTGAGTTGTGTGACATCAAATCACAGCCGCCACCACACCTGGGTGAATGGCACAAATTTCATAGTAGTAAGTTTTGTGGTGGTTGCTGCTGGCCATGGCCTTGAGAAGCGAAAATAGCCCTGCCTTTTAACTGAGAGAAATCAAGGTTTGAAGGCTGGCAATATTGTTGTGGTTGCTTAGGAACCCTTAGAATGGCTACTGATATCTCAGAGGGCATACATTTCTTAAAGATACAGGCACTGCTTCTTTTATTGGGGGGGTTAACCCCCCCCCCCCCCCGTGTGTGTGATCTATATATATATATATTAGATTTCAGGTTTTTTGCAAATCTGGGGATTTTTCAGGTTTGTTGAAAGACCTGTCTGGTTTGTTCATGGTTCTAGTCTCTGGATTTAAGTATCCACAGAGCAGGCCATGTTGAGAATTAGATAGGTTGATGATACTGTTTGCTTCCTAACAATCACATATTTCTGTTTATTTCCTTGCATACATGAACAAATAGAAAATTGCTGCAAGTTCATATACAAAAATGAATAGACAATAGTAAACTTGATGTCCGAACTTAAGACTTGTTAGCCGTGGGCTGTTGGAGCTGTGCTGGATAAGATTGATATCACTACTGAGTGTAATAAAACAACCTGAGAACTGAATTTGGTTGATAAAGAGTTCTTCGAAATGAACAACCACTCGAGATGTTCGTACTTCTGGTTGATGTCATCTTCTGTTTATGACGTTCTGAAAAACAAAGACATTAAATATCACAAAACGTCATTGTTATCAAGTTTACTATTGTCTATTCATTTTTGTATGTGAACTTGCAGCAATTTTCTATTTGTTCATGTATGTCCTTTGAATTGCTGGTCCCTTTATTACTTACTTATTTCCTTGCATAGCCTGTATTCTCAATCCAGAAGGGGGAAAAATGAATTCTCCATCATGTTATATTTGCCACATTCCTTGACATTAGAGTAGTTGAAATATCCAAACAAACCCATTAATTAAAACTGCACGTTTAATGTTTCAGAGTACCATAGAATAGATTGATAGCATAGTTTTCTGTGGAGATGGGGGTCCTGGTGTGCCTTGGGTCCTGGTACTTTCAGTGAGGTTTTTTGTACAACAATTAAAGTGCATGGCTGATATGAAGTAACGTTAAAAGATCAACACCTTGCTGTCATTTGTTTAATTTTGTTTGAGCACAAAGAAACTTCAGAAAGCATTGCTCCTTGTAAGCATGTATGAGTGCCCTGACAGTGCAAACTGGCCAACAACTCAGTGTGGCACTGGATTGAAGTAATTGTGTTACACTCTGATTTTTAGCAGAAATATTCATTTATTTATGACTACACAAGATAACATGAATTCCTCTTACGATTGGTTCACCCAGGCGCTGGAACTGACTGACACCAGAACTGGTGATGGACATCAGTGAGTGTAAGTCAGAAGCAGGTTTCCCTCTGCAGGTGGCCGGCAGCTGTTGGAAGGCCAGACCTCCTTCCCTCCCATCTTGCCTTGGGCTTTTGGGACATGGTCATCAATTGTAAGATAATGACTGGAAGAAGTAGTTTTCTGCAAGATGAATTAGAATACATTGATGGGGAGGGCAAGCAAGTAGAGCAGGAAGAATTCTTGTGTGTGTGTGTGTGTGTGTGTGTGTGTGTGTGTGTGTGTGTGTTTTAACTGGTGGAATTGCTGAGAACTGGTGGAATTGCTGTATCGAAATGGTGGTGCCCTTGCTTCTGTGACCCTGGATTTCATATGTTTGTAAAGAATTATAGTGAAGATCCTACAATTCTCCAGTGTAAGGTGACCCTATGAGGTGGGAGTCCACAGCCTGCAGGCCCATGTGGAATCACAAAATGGCTGCCACGGGAGACAGAGTCAGCCACAAAAGATCAGGGATTGATATTATGCATAAATCTGATAATAGCTTCAGGATGTCAGACAGAAGTTCTGTTTAGTGGGATGCCTTTTAAAATTAACATATTGCTTAAAAACATTTTCTTGCATACACCCAAAATAAGTCCGCATAATGAACTAGCTAAGAAACCTTCACCGGACAGTATGTGTCTTCATTTTGCAGGCATGTAACACTCCCGTGCAGACGGGGGAAATGCTCCTTCTGACTCCCTCACTCCAGGGGAGCCCCCGCTGCCCAGAGGAGCCCGGCACGTGTGCCTCTTGACAGCAGCAGCAGCTGGAGCTCACTGCATAGGTGATGGGCACAGTTAGAGAAATCCTGGCCAGATTTTGATAGAAACATAAAAGATATTTCCAAAGTTATTGAAGTGTGTATGACTTAAAATGTATTGCTTAAAATTAACACGAGCAAAATAGACCTCCTTTTTTCTTCATTGTAATTTGATGTCAACAGTGAGATCCCCCCAACATACCCCTCAGACACAAAAAGCCACAAAGTCTCCAGGAAGAGGGAAGAGAAGAGCTTTACACCCTGCTCTCGTCCCGGGAGGGGGTATATTTATTTATTTACAAAATGTACACGCCACCTTTCTCCTTTCTCAGGTATTGCTCTCCCACACCTTCCAACCAGCCAGCCTGCATTCATCCCAGGAGCTGTTCTTGGGGTGGGAATTCGCGCGCGCGGGGGGGGGGGGGGGCCACATTCAAACTAGCTGGCTTAGTTTGCTCCTCAGCAGCAGCAGCTGTGGCAGCAGCAGAGCAGGGAGAATAGGACCCCAGCAGGTCTGAGCAGGCGTGGCTTTTGCTTTCCCATATGCATCCCGGCCGTCTCGTTCTCCTCAGCCACAAGAGTGCTGCTTGCAGTGGGGAAGAGGCCATTCAGGCCAGCCAGCATACTTTTGTCCCTGGCACAGTTTGGTGGGAAGGGCTTTGTTTTCCTTCTTCCAGCCAGAGCAAACCTGTGGGCTTGTGCCGTCGTGGGCTTCTCTGTCTACCTCCTGTTCAGGGAGAGCATGATGGCCAAGACTTGGGCGGCAGTGAGGATCTGTGTGCCGCAGCTTCCGTGGCTGCTGAAGCCATGTTTCTTCCATCTGCAGAGCCAATCAGAATCTCCTGTTCCACCCAAAGCTCTGATGGGCACAAGACCCACCTGGTCCCACCCATTCCCTAAAAATGCCCAATACACGGCAGGGAAGGTGTCCTTGCATAACGGTGTTGAGGAGCCCTCTCAGAAGTTCCCACTGTGTGTGAAACGGGAACCACAAGGCAACAGAAGCTCCAGTATAATCTTTCTCCAAGGGAATGGAACGTCTGAGAGATTCTGAAGGGTATCTGAAGCAGAATACCAGTCTGTGGCTGGCTCTTGTTCTGCTGTCTTTCCTGCATGAAGACTCTTTTTTTTTCCGTTGCAGCTCAGCATTTCACTTTTATGTCACTTATTGTGCATTTCCTTGCATCAGAATTAGCTTGTAATGAGGCTGAGCTACAAGAAAGAAGGACTTGATGCTGTCTGATAGGGCGAAGGTAGCGTCTCAAGCCGATGACTTTGACTCCTCCTGCTTCTTCTGGGACCACTTGGCTTGTTATCCACCCTGCCCTGTGACCAGTCAGGTGGTCCGGCTTCAAACACACATATCCCATCAGCAGAGTATGGAGCCCATGCAAGCCGTTGAAGCGCAAGGGGACCTGGCACCACAGGTTTCCACACAGACCCAGAGTGATTTCCAGCCGGCTGCTGGAGAGGGTCCCCTTCCCCTTCCCAGCCTCCTGATGGCCAGCTCTCTCTGTTTCCAGAGCCGCCAGGGGCCCACAAATAGCAGGTTCACACAGTATATCATCTTTCTTTAATGCTCCTGCTCTTTGTCTCTGCTTCATTCCAAGGGCCTCCAGAGAAACCAGAACAGGTGCCATTGGAGAGCCGCTCCTGTGTCCTCATTCGGCGAGACTTAGTTGCTCTCCCAGCAAGTCTCATCAGTCAGATTGGATATCGGTGCCATCCAAAACTCTACTCAGAAGGAGATCCTGGAGAGAAACTTGAACTTGTTGCAGGTAATGAAAGAAGAACTTCCTCTTCTATCTGAAACACTTAGAATTGGTCTCTCATCTTCAGTTAGGTTTTGATGTAGTTTTTCCCCTCTAAGGTTATCCTTTTGGTTTAAAAAGGGAGAACTTTGCAAAAATGAAGGAACTAGTCGGAAGGGACTTCAAAGGGAGATCCAGGAGAATCAGATTCCTGCAAGATGCTTGGAACCGATTTAAAACCATACTAACTGAAGCCCAGATATGCCTCAGGTTTGGGTTAGGGTTAGGAAAAGTAGAAAGGGTCAAAACCATTGGGGAAGCTTGGAGACTATTGAAAACTACAATCCTAGAAGCTCAGAAAAAATATATACCGCAGGTTAAGAAAGGCACAAACAGGTATAGAAAAAAGTTAACAAACAAAGTAATGGAAGCTGTAAAAGGTAAGAAGGATTCTTTTAAGCGGTGAAAAGCTAGTCTCACTGAGGTTGATTAAAGGGAACACAGGCTGTGGCAAATAAAATGCAAGTCTGTGGTCAGGCAGGCAAAAAGGGAATAGGAGGAGCAAATAGCAAAAAACATAAAGACCAACAATAAAACTTTCTTCAAATACATTAGAAGCAGGAAACCAGCCAGGGAGGCAGTGGGGTCCTTGGATGACCAAGGGGTAAAAGGAGTACTGAAGGATGATAGGGAAATGGCTGAGAAGCTGAATGCGTTTTTTGCCTCTGTCTTCACTGTGGAAGATGAGAAGTGCTTGCCCACTCCAGAACCCCTGATTTCGGGAGAGGTGTTGAAAGACCTGAGTCAGATTGAGGTGACGAGAGAGGAGGTCCTACGACTGATAGACAACTTAAAAACTGATAAATCACCAGGCCCGGATGGCATACATCCAAGAGTTCTGAAAGAACTCAAATGTGAACTTTTGGATCACCTGAAAAAATATGTAATCTTTCATTAAAATCTGCCTCGATTCCTGAGGATTGGAAGGTAGCTAATGTCACTCCCATATTTAAAAAGGGTCCGGGTAAGTTGGTGGAAACTGTTATTAAGGAAAGAATTAGTAGGCACATAGATAAACAAAACCTATTGAGGGAGACTCAGCATGGGTTCTGTAAGGGAAGATCTTGTCTCAATAACCTGTTAATGTTCTTTGAGGGGGTGAACAAACATGTGGACCAGGGGGACCCAATAGATCCTCATCAAAGGCTCCTAAGTAAGTTCAATAGTCCTTTTGTGGATCAAAAACTGGCTAATTAATAGGAAACAGAGAGTGAGTATAAATGGGCAATTTTCTCAGTGGAGGGAGGTAAGCAGTGGGGTACCACAGGGATCTGTACTGGGTCCAATGCTTTTTAACTTGTTCATGAATGATTTGGAGTTGGGAGTAAGCAGTGAAGTGGCTAAATTTGCGGATGACACAAAGTTTTTCAGGGTGGTGAGAACCAGGGAGGATTGTGAGGCACTCCAAAGGGATCTGTTGAGGATGGGCGAGTGGGCATCAATGTGGCAAATGGGGTTCAGTGTGGCTAAGTGCAAAGTGATGCACATCGGAGTTAAAAATCCTAATTATAAATACACGTTGATGGGGTCCGAACTGTCAGAAACTCAATGAAATTGCTGAGCAGTCGGGTTAGAATGGATAAAAGGAAGTACTTCTTCACCCAAAGAGTGATTAACACATGGAATTCACTGCTACAGAAGATGGTGGTGGCTACAAGGATGGATGGCTTCAAGAGGGAATTGGATAAACACATGGAGCAGAGGTCTATTAGTGGCTATTAGCCACGGGTTATAGATAGGAACTCTCAGTCTGGGGCAAGTGATGCTCTGTCTTCTTGGTGCTTGGGGGGGGTCAACAGTGGGAGGGGCTCCTAGTGTCCTGGCCCCACTGCTGGACCTCCTGATGGCACCTGGTATTTTTGGCCACTGTGTGACAGAGTGTTGGACTGGATGGGCCATTGGCCTGATCCAACATTGGCTTCTGATATGTTCTTATGTTCTATGTGAAACTGTTGCTCTATTAACACCTGTTGCCAAAACCGGCCTCTTTATTGGAGGACTGGAAAATAGCAAATGCTACATAAATTTTATAAGAAGGGATCCAGTGGGGATCCAGGAACTTACAGGCCAGTTAGCCTATAATCTGTTCTGGATAAATTATTTATTATTATTGTTTATTATTTTTGATTTATAATAGATAGAGGAACAAAGCCTGCTGAGGGAAATTCAGCATGAGTTCTGTAAAAGAAAACTGATTCTGTTACTTTTTGGAGTTCTTTGAGAAGGTTAACAATTTGTGGGTAAAGGTGATCTGGTAGACCTAATAGATTTGAACTTCTAAAAGTCTTTTGTTGGGGTCCCACCAAAGATTCTTGAGTGAGCTTATTTTATTTATTTATTTACTTATTCCCTTGATTCTATTTGTATCCTGCCCTCCCTGCAAATTTATCTAAGAACCTATCAAAAACCAGCAATCAATGAAAGCCCGGTGCCTCAACTGATCTCAGCAAGAAGCAGTTGGTTCCCAGGTAGCCATTCGGATCTGAGGTGACTAGAGGGGAGGCCAGTAGCAGGTGGGCATCTGCTGTCTCAACTGGAAGCCTGGTGGAAGAGCTCTGTCTCGCAGGCCCCGCGGGGAACTGTAATAGCGCCCTGGTTTCTAATGGAAGTTCATTCCACCAGGTGGGGCCAGGGCCAAAAAAGCCCTTGCCCCGTTGAGGCCAGTTGGAAATCCCTTAGAAGTCAGGGAATAAAAAGTCAGGCCCTTTATGGACTAAAAATTGGTTAAACCCAGAAAGCAGAGAGTACAAACACACACACACACACACAGAGTTCTTGCAGTGGAGGGAAGTGGGCAGTGAGGTCCCACAATGATCAGTATTGCAACTGGTGTTATTTGATTTGTTCAAAAATAATATAGAATTGGGGTGAGCAGTGCAGTGGCCAAGTTTGCAGATCTATGTAATAGTTTGTTAGTTTATTTTGTGAATGTGGGGTTTGTGTATGCTGTGAATGTGCAGAAGTTTAATGTAAATTGTCTTTACAGGTAGTCAGCTCAAAAGAAACAGAGTTCTCCCTCCCACTTCTTTCTCAATTTCTTCTTCTTCCTCTTCTTTTGAAAAAAATAATTTATTTCAGGTACCTACAGACATACCTACAAAACAGTTATAAAAATACCAAGATTATATGAATACATATACAATAAAAGTATAACATTAAAAATACATATACAATAAAAGTATAACATTAAAAATTTAGAGACTGCAAACTAGCATTTTTCCTTTGTATACTTTAACATTTAACATTTACCCAAGCTCTCGTATCTGTTTCTATAGTTCTTGAATTATAATAACATAAGGTATCCTATTCCTTTAATGTTCCTAGAGTTTTACATACATCTTTCCAGGATGATTATAAATATTAGATAACTAATTCAAAAATATAAAGTTTTCATTGATTCAGAGGAATTTCACCTTGCTGTTCTAAATAATCTAAAATACGATACCATATATTTTTATGCCATAGAGGTAAGGGGGGGGGGCTGTTGGGTTTTTCCAATAATGAGAAAAAGTTCATTTAGCTATAGTTAATAAAATAACAATGATTACCCTATGTGGATACAGTTGAATTCTATCTTATAGTTCAAAAAATAGAGATTCAGGAGTTAGTTCAAGGGTATATCCTGAAATTGAAGATATTTTTTGTTTGCAGGGAGGGCGGGTTATAAATTTAAATAAATAAATAAATAAATACATTATTTTAGGGCAATACAACCAACAATCCATATATGATCTGATGTGCCCACATTGTTTCCAACAGTATGGACTTATATTCCTAATTTAGTTTAAAAGCATTTTAGGTGCATAATACCAACAGGCAAGAACCTTAAAAGTTTGAAATTTCATTAAAAGTACAGACAAATTATAATCTATAGATACCCACATTTCCCCCCAAATGTCTTCCTTCAGAATAATTTAACAATCCTTTGCCATTTATACTGATATGATACCTTTCCAGGTGATTCAGTTTCACTTAGAATCTTATATATTTTAGAGAGTAATCCTTTTTTATTATGTTCACAGGAATTGAGCACTCTCTTGAAATCTGTTAGTGGGGACTTTAATATGTTTGAGAGCGGAATTGATAAAATATATACTATGACATTGGCTTTTCCATCTTTTTTCCCTAAGGATTGTTTATCTAGTACTTTATTCCCTATTGTTAAGTCAATTAGTTTAGTAATTTTGGCAACTTCCACAATTTACCATCTTTTTTTTGTTGCCCTGAAGGCTTGATCTGATTTAATAAGGAGGAAAAGTGAGAATGTTCTGGCACTAGTTGTTTTATATATATATCCCAGATACTCAAAGCTGCCCCAGTAAATTTATTCCTATATATAGCTACACGCCAATCTGTCTTTCGTTGCCATATGATACTTTGTATATCTATTGGGTGAAAATATGAATTAAAAACATTAATCCAGCAGGTTTATCTTCACTGGTAGAGAGATGAATAGCTTTATAATATTTGTTTAAATTAGAATATTGCATACCTCCCTTATTTGTAGGCCAGATCAGAGTTTTAAAGTGAATATGATGGTTTTTATTAGCCCATAAAAATGTTGTTAATGTATCTTGCCAAAGTTTTAACTTTTTACTAGGTATCCTAATTGGTATATCTCTAAATAAAAAGATACATTTAGGGGGTAAAGAAATATTTAATTAAATTATACCTATCCATCCAGGTGAAGTATGATTTTTCCCATGATGTAAGTTTATTAAGATGTTCTTGATGTACAAGATCATGATTATTCTTTAAAAGCTGATCCGAATGTTTTGTAATATTAATGCCTAAATATATAATATTTCTAGTAGCCTACTTATGGTTATATTTTTGTTTATATGTAAAATAATTAAGTGGTAGTAAATTTGATTTTTCTTGATTTATTTTTAAACCTGAAATCTCTGCAAAAATGTCTAATACTGGCTGTAAGCTCTCTAATCATTGTATTGGATTTGATAAAAATA